CCCTGACCAGCACTTTATGAATGCAGATGAAGGAAGAGCAAGCTAAAATGAAGATTTTCCACTGTTAAGGGAAAGAGAAATGATAAAGGTTGGAGAAGAAGGCAGTCCCAAAGGATGGGAAATGACACATTCCAGGAAAGAGAAGACGATGCTTCAAAGAAGATGGGGCTGAACTGAACACATTTTATCTGAACTATTGAAAAAAAACCAATAACCGTAATGATGTGTTTGTTGATCTTGATATAAGTTGTAAAGGGCACATCATAGCAGCAAATGGAAAGCAAATAAGCTCATAAAGGCTGTAAAAATGCAGACTGAGTGATAAAGAGACTATTGCTTTGCATGTTAAAGATGTCCTGTTTTGGATTCCAGATTTGGATTCCAATTTACTAAGTTATGCAGTCGGAAAGGGGAAAAGTGCTCAATTTGTTGATGGAAATTTCTCAGTAACAGGCATGGATGGAGATTGGTTGCTAAAAAGGAACATTGTTAGAATATGGACTTTTCAAAATAGATTCCCCAGAAACTCATGAAGCCTGCAATAAGGGAAAATCAACTGAGCTTTTAACCCCAACAAGGCATTATAAAGGCAGAAACTACGTACATTGAATTTTGATATAGACAATTAGATTATCAAAGCATAGGTCAGATCAGGCAGATACAAAGGGAAAAACATTTCAAAATTGCAAACTGCAAACAAGCCTGTTTGGTATATTTACATGACACATGTCTGAAAACTTATACAATTCAAAGATTAAAAAAATTGAAACTTCGGAAAATGTGGCCAACAGCAATATTCAATGGGGGACAAAATCCACATTGACTTCTGTTCTCTTCCTATTGAGTCAGGTGAAGGAAACAGGCATTTTATAATTCTCTGTGGTGAAGTATTTTGTTTTTGCTGTTTGTATCTCATCAGGTTGAAGTGTTCTGCGAATTGAGATGTGGGTGATGTAGAAAATACCTTTGAGGGGAAAAATCTACAGCTTTTACATCCTGATGATAATGAACTAAAATCCACGAATGGCCAGATGTCTGGTTATTTGAAGGAAAATAACATTTTTCATGGGAGATTGGTTTTCTGTCACACCAAAATCGAATGGGCGAGCAGAAAGGATCTGTATGCAAGAATTCTGGCTTGCATTGATCTGGATCAAAAATGATTGGCAGATGTCATTTCAACAACTACCTTCAACATAGGTGATTTGTTAGAACCCTAAAGGTCCTTATGATCTGTGGTTCAACGGAAACCCCAATTTAAATCACATTAGGATTTTTAGATTCAAGCATAGACTTTTATTTCAAATCAAAACAATAAAGACTGTATTGCTGAGCAAACATAAAGAGGTACAGGATTGTTCAATATGTTTCCTGGAAGGATTAAAATAATGAGCATGGCTTATCCTATTGAGATAGAATCAGGAACTCGACCTAGGAACAATCACAGGTAACACTATCACATCTAGTCTTTGTTTCTAGTTTCCAAACATCATTACAACTAGTTTAGAAGGTGGTTTCAAGATGGCAACTGAAGTAGCGCACAGTGCAGAAATATAGTTGCAGTACTGAAGGCTACTTCTGCTGATCACCAGCTGCCAGAAGTTTGGCAGATGAAATCTCACCAGGCTCAAGGTTCACTCAGCCTTCCGTCCTTCCCAGGTGGGTAAAATGAGGACCCAGATTGTTGGGGGCAATAGACTGACTCTGTAAACTGCTTAGAGAGGGCTGTAAAGCACTGTAAAGTTGTATACAAGTCTAAAGGCTATTGCTATTGCAACAACCAGCAGCTGAGCCTGATCCACAGTTTCTCAGAAACCTAACAAAGGGATCTTGACAGTCTGGATCTCATTCATGAGCAAGATAAATGGGATGAAAAAACCCGAAACTTGAAGAGATATTCAAAAAGCTATCAACTGGGATATGGAAAGAAGCAGCAAGAAAGAAAAGGTACCACCTTTTTACAAAAATGACACTTGAGAAACCTCTTGCCATGAAAAAGGTGGTGCTGTCTTAAAGCTGCTGGAAATGAGCCACTCTGATTATATGGACCTAAACTGAACATTTGAGCATAGGTTCGTAAGGCCTGAAGACCTAGTTCTGCCAATGGGTCTTGGGAACCCAGAGCGGGATGAAATGAAGGCTCATTTGATTGTGTATTATCACTGGGGTGGGGTGGTGGTGGATTATTGTTTTTTATATATTGGATTTGTATTGTTTGTAATCCTCCCAGAGTCATTGAAAGTGAGTGGGTGGCCATGAAAATCAAATAAATAAAAAGTAAGTAAGATATTATCTGAGATAATATGGGAGCTATGAGTGGGTGCAATAATAATAATAATAATAATAATAATAATAATAATAATAATAATAATAATAATAATAATAATAATAATAATAATAATAGTAAGAAGAAGAAGAAGAAGAAGAAGAAGAAGAAGAAGAAGAAGAAGAA